GGGAGAGGCAGGCGGCCCCGGAGACGTCGGTCACGGAGCGTCGGACGAGCTCGTGGCCCGGTGAGCACGCCTGGAACTGCAGACCTCGTCGACGAAGCCGCCCAGCGTCGCGCGGTTCAGCGCGGTCGCCTGGACCAGGGTCCGCTGCCCGGGCGCCGTGGCGTCTCAAATAGCGCCAGTCGCGTTGAGAAGGGTCCGCGCGAGCGCCAGGTCCTTTGTCTCGGCGAGCAATATAGAGACATTTGTCGTGTTCATGGCCGAGTTCACGAGCGGGTTCGCTAGATCAGCAAGAGTGCGCGCGATCGTCGTTCTCTGCGACGTAACTGCAGACCTCGTCGACGAAGCCGCCCAGCGTCGCGCGGTTCAGCGCGGTCGCCTGGACCAGGGTCCGCTGCCCCGGCGCCGTGGCGTCTGAAATAGCGCCAGTCGCGTTTGAGAAGGGTCCGCGCGAGCGCCAGGTCCTTCGTCTCGGCGAGCAATATAGCGACATTTGTCGTGTTCATGGCCGAGTTCACGAGCGGGTTCGCTAGATCAGCAAGAGTGCGCGCGATCGTCGTTCTCTGCGACGTAACTGCAGACCTCGTCGACGAAGCCGCCCAGCGTCGCGCGGTTCAGCGCGGTCGCCTGGACCAGGGTCCGCTGCCCCGGCGCCGTGGCGTCTGAAATAGCGCCAGTCGCGTTTGAGAAGGGTCCGCGCGAGCGCCAGGTCCTTCGTCTCGGCGAGCAATATAGCGACATTTGTCGTGTTCATGGCCGAGTTCACGAGCGGGTTCGCTAGATCAGCAAGAGTGCGCGCGATCGTCGTTCTCTGCGACGTAACTGCAGACCTCGTCGACGAAGCCGCCCAGCGTCGCGCGGTTCAGCGCGGTCGCCTGGACAGGGTCTCGCTGCCCCGGCGCCGTGGCGTCTGAAATAGCGCCAGTCGCGTTTGAGAAGGGTCCGCGCGAGCGCCAGGTCCTTCGTCTCGGCGAGCAATATAGCGACATTTGTCGTGTTCATCGCCGAGTTCACGAGCGGGTTCGCTAGATCAGCAAGAGTGCGCGCGATCGTCGTTGTCTGCGACGCGACCGAGAGGTTCTGCTTTGCCATGAGCGTCGTCAACGTCGTCAACGATCAATCGATCGCGATGATCGCGCCGCCGACCTGGGAGAGGCAGGCGGCGCCGGAGACGTCGGTCACGGAGCGTCGGACGAGCTCGTGGCCCGGCGAGCACGCCTGGAACTGCAGACCTCGTCGACGAAGCCGCCCAGCGTCGCGCGGTTCAGCGCGGTCGCCTGGACCAGGGTCCGCTGCCCCGGCGCCGTGGCGTCTGAAATAGCGCCAGTCGCGTTTGAGAAGGGTCCGCGCGAGCGCCAAGTCCTTCGTCTCGGCGAGCAATATAGCGACATTTGTCGTGTTCATGGCCGAGTTCACGAGCGGGTTCGCTAGATCAGCAAGAGTGCGCGCGATCGTCGTTCTCTGCGACGTAACTGCAGACCTCGTCGACGAAGCCGCCCAGCGTCGCGCGGTTCAGCGCGGTCGCCTGGACCAGGGTCCGCTGCCCCGGCGCCGTGGCGTCTGAAATAGCGCCAGTCGCGTTTGCAGACCTCGTCGACGAAGCCGCCCAGCGTCGCGCGGTTCAGCGCGGTCGCCTGGACCAGGGCCCGCGCCCCGGCGCCGTGGCGTCTGAAATAGCGCCAGTCGCGTTTGAGAAGGGTCCGCGCGAGCGCCACGAGCGGGTTCGCTAGATCAGCAAGAGTGCGCGCGATCGTCGTTGTCTGCGACGCGACCGAGAAGTTCTGCTTTGCCATGAGCGTCGTCAACGTCGTCAACGTTCAATCGATCGCGATGATCGCGCCGCCGATTGCCATACCCGCAGGCGCACAGCCGGGCCGACGGGCAGCGACACGGGGCAGCCCAGCTCTCGCAAAACGCTCTCCCTGGTCCGTCAAGTGCAGGGCACTGTGACCCATTCCGGCCGGGGCGAGTTTTGGGGGAGCCCTAAACCGGCGCATTCGCCGTGGGGCGACGCCACGCAGCTCCCTTAATTTTCGCGCCCCCGAAAATGCCGGAAGTCGCTCCAGCGACACCTCCCAAAACCAGGCGCCAGCGGAGGCGGAGCGGAGCCCGGAGAGCGCCCGGGCTCAGTGACCCCCCTATTGTCGTGGGTCGAAGTGTGGGTCGCCACGTGCGCGCTTCAACTTGCGACCCGGGTGAGTAAGCCGGACTCTGCAGCGCAGCTGCACCCACTTTGCTGCGCCGCACAAGGGGAGTAGGACCCTAGGATAATAAGCGCGGACCGCACGTGGCTTGCTGGCACACCCCGATGGGGCGCCAGATTCGGGCTTGGGCGCACGCTGGTCATCGCTTACTGGCGCGCCCGCCGGTACTCGAACGCTGCGTGAGTTAAATACTGGCTCCGTGGTAATCCAGGCGGATCAAGATTTTCCGACCCGTCTTCAGAGGACTGCCGGTTTTATCTGTGCATGCATGGAGCAGGTGAGTCTCGCTTTCCTGGCCCGTGCACGCCCCAGTCTCGATCGATGGCGATTTGCGCTATAGCTCGCAACCTCAAACAAACAGTCATTGTCCCTTCTTTTTATACCGGACCTGAATGTGGGACTGGCGGCCAGTATTTGCACATGAGCCATGCAAATGGCCAGACTTGGCTTGAGATGCGAAGTTGAAGTGATTCGATGACTTATTTTGAGAGGTCCCTTGTTGAGCCAGTATACTACCACCGACATGGCTCTTGCTTATGCTCGCACCTTGGGAAAAGTTGGGTGTGTTGTAAGAGTGTTTATTGTCAAATGGCTTCAACCTCTTTTTTCTTTTCGTTCCATTTTTTTTGTCCAAAGTCTGATACTTGTATGTTTGCTGCATTTTGCTGTTTCCCATGACCCCCATGATGGGCGGCAAGCTACTTGGACTTGCCTCAATATCATCCACGTGTGCGTCCTTGGTCGAGTATTTTGTTTGGCCCATGGCCCTAGTTAGGGATCCTTGGGGCATGATCTTTGCTCCCTTTTTGGGATTCACCGCTGAATTCACCGATGGATACGCTGCATTGCCACCAATGGTAGGTAACCCTTTGGTAGGCAGTGGCATGCTCTCTTTTTCTGGGGTTGCATTCGCGGTACTATGGTGGGTAAGGTCCGTCGAGGGTTGAAGGGCATGTTGTCGACGAGCATCGTAGTCTCGTGCCGCATTGAAGTAAGTGTGCCGCAAGGCCTCACGAGCCGAAATTCGTTCCGAGGCATCATGCACGAGCATTTTTATCATCAACTCCACGCAGTCGATAGCGGCGTGCTTGATTAGCTGCGCGATGCCGATTCCCGCCTGGGGAGGGAAGTCGAAATTCACATGGGCGGCACCGTTTTGTTTGAATTTGTTCAACAAATGAACGTCCGGAGTGCCAAGGACTTTGTGAATGCGATTTATCTGATCTAACTCATTTGTACCAGGGAAAAGCGGATATAATGATGTGATTTCAAAAAATACGCAGCCGGCACCCCAGAGGTCCATTTCAGGACCATAGTAACCGTCAGTGAGTAAACATTCAGGGGCACGGTACCATCGCGTGGAAATATATTCAGTGTAAGGCTGCTTTGAATATATGCCACGACACGAACCGAAATCGGCCAACTTCAGACCTTTGTTCATATCGCTCTTGTTCTCAATTAAGATATTCTCGGGCTTGATATCCCGGTGAAAAATTCCTTTTCGGTGCATGTGGTCCAATGCCAACAGAAGTTGGTGCATATACGATTGGATCAACTGTGCATTCAAGTAATGTCTCCGCCCCCTAATAAGTTCATACAAGTTCGCGTCCATAAGTTCAAATACAAGTGCCAAACGCCCAGTTGGCTGGTCATAGAGAACTTCTTCAAGTGTTATGATGTGGGCATGCGGCGACAATCTTCGCAGCGCTTGAATTTCTCGCAAATTGTTCACCTACTTAGACAAATCTAGGTTCTTGAGGGTATTTTCAAAAAGTTAATAATCTACCTGATCAATTGAGTCAAAATGATTTTTCATACATTTGATGGCATGATACTTCCCGTCCTTTACGTTTTGAGCTTTTAGGACCTGAGGTATTCTTAAAGTTTAGTGGGGCGGAGTTACCTAGGGGCCTACCTCACTAAAGGTACCTTCGCCTTTCTTAGCAACGAGTCTATACCTGAGGCAGACGGCTTTGAAATCCTCGTATGAATGATCCCTGTAACTGCGCGCCACGACCACACTTGCAAGATTCCTGAATCTTTCACGAGAACTTACTTTCGCATTGAGAACCGCAGTTGTTTGTCGTAGCTAGATGAGTCTAAAGCGCATTGGAGAATGCGACTCGAACAAGTGGCTGTAGGTTTGACGGAATATATGCGTTACATATAGCCGCTAATTATTGGATGATGTTTATTGAGTTAGTCAGGGTTTGAAGTTCATGGCGCAATCGCTAACGATTCACGAGGCGAAGTGCGAAAGAGCAAAACCATGAAGGCCACGAGGTGGGGGCGGAGGTAGACCATTCCGGACAGCGGTCGCAGAGGGCGCCAGCAGAAAGGTGAAGGGCCATTACGATAATGCCAAATTCACCCATGAGGACAGCATGGCCGGGGGTCGCGTCCAATGGCCGCTAGGTTCGTCCAATCATGATGGCCTCGTCCCTGTCCGATCGCGGTTGGCTCATTGTCCGATTGCCCGACCGCGATTGGCTGCCCGTCCAACGGCGTCCGTCCGGCGCGGTCAATCATCTTCAATCAGGGCCGGCGCACGAGCGGCGCCACCGGGATCCCGGCGGCGATCCGGCGCGATCCCGGGCGATCCCGCAGCGATCCCGCAGCGATCTCGAGCAATCCCGAGCGATCTGCGCGATCCCGATCGATCCCGCGCGCTCAGACGCGATCCCGGCGGTCCGGAGCGAGGCGGCGCCGGTCATTCAATCCGGCCAATCTTTTTTTCCAACTCAACTTGCACAAACTTTCATTGATTTCAATGATGCGTGATCTTCATGAGATGCGTGATCTTCAGGTACGGCAACGGGATTTCATATACAACGAGTTACTTTCGGAAACGACTGCGGCGGAAGCTGTGCAGTGTGAACTTGGAGCGCTGGTGGAGAATGTCGGGCTGCGGCTGCAAATTTTACGACAATTGCAGTGCCAAGCAGCGCTAGAAAGACTCGAAGCGCTGGAGAATCCGGCGGTCGATTCGCTATTGTGTCGGATCCGCAGTGACTCGCCGGGCCTAGGGCATGCGACGACAGCCTTCCAAGAATTCGTTCGCGTCGTGGAGAGATTACGAAATCGCGAGGCTCATGTGAAGCATAAAACTTTGAATGACCATTTGTGCGCCCATTTTGAGTCGGTGCTTCGAACTATGCGAGACTCGCGGCGAGCGGTTGACAAGTGCGGCAAGCCCGTAAATTATAGTCAACATTCTGGAACGGTTCAGGTAATCAGAGGGAAAACACTTGCGTTACAGAAAGTGAGGACGGATCATCTCGGCCATTACAATGCGAACAAAGAGTTGCATTCAAATAAACGAGCGCCTGGTTGCTTCGAAGTGTTCCCATGCAAAGCGCAATTGTGCGACTATGAGGCTCATACCATCATGAAGAATGACGTCGAACAAAGCGCCTGGCACGAGGCCGCCCATAGAGCCATGCTTTGGAGACTAGAGCAGCGTCTCACCCAGGATAAATGGCTAAACAGCACTTCGGCCATTCTTCGTGATAACTACAGCGTTGCAGCCTTCCAGCTTCAAGGTGAGCTAACTACGGTCCGTGAGGTATTGGGTGATCTCAAGGCGCTCAGACCAGTTTTAAGCCAGTCAGGTCCAGCCTCTGATCCCAACGAAACTTGTGTTAAGTACGTTCAAAACGTGGATAATGACACAGCAGGCCACCTTCAGAAGGCACAAATTATCTTATTGGATGCCCTTGCTAAGTGCCTCTGCTTGGAGCCTGCAGTCTGGATAGATCTCTATATTGATCTTCTCCCCATGGGCGACCGCGAAACTGGCTTCAAGAGGCTCCTGTTTGACCTACAGTGCCAATGCCAACACCAGCGCCCTAATGGCACTGCGCGGAACAAAGTTGCAACCGGGTCTGGCCCCATGTGATTCAAGTGGCTAACTCCTAGGATATCCACGACATATGTGCTGGCTCTGCCGACCTTGCTGTTGTTGAACAGGTCATCTTTGTTGAAGAACTGCGCAATAGTCGCTCAACGCGTGCTGGTGGTTCGTTGAACCAAAAACGATAAGATACATATTTGCCGACTCGTCGATGGAAAGGTTAACGAGTGGGAGAGGCATATTTCCGTGCGAATCAACTCCGGGGTATATTCGCTTCCCTCACCCGGGCCAGATGCAGTTGCAGGGGTCGTAGAGATGCGTCCATTGTGCAATTAGCAACTATAACAGAACGACACTCGGCCGCCAACACGAAGTCCTCGCGGCAGTTTTATTCGCCCGCGACCAATACGCAGATCTGCGGCAGCCAAATCGCGGTGGTCCGAAATGTCGACGATGCGGTACAAGAGCGACAGGCCCTTGAACTTCACGATGCCCCTCGCGCACCCCGAGGCTTCTCCAGATAGGCCGGACGCGGCAACATTGTTTGTCACCGGGGCGCCCCGGAGCCAGGAACTGGAACTGAGAGCTTCCAGTCACGGTGCATATATCCCAGTGAGCCCTGCGGGCCGCCAGCAGAACACAACCCAAGAGAGCCCGCTGCGGGGCCCGGGGAACCCGCAAAGTCCCCGACAACACTACGTACGCCGGCGGCTAGGGGCTTTACTCAGGCGCCGGGGCCCGAGGCGGGGCCCAAACTGGAACGTGTCGAATTTCCGGCTGGCTACTGAAGGCTACCTTGCCTCGTTTGGCAATGGCGCGGGGCACACCGACACAACGGACACGACCCAGCTTCGAGTGCGAATGATGGAGTCTAGCTGCCAGGGGACCGGAACTCAATTCCCTTGCATTCTCTGCAGCACCCTTGCAGATAGCGTGAACAACAGCGACAGCCGCAACCTGTTCGAGACCAAAATTGGTCACAAGTGGAATCTAAAGAAAATGAAATGAACAACTCTATCTGCAATGCCCGGGAAGCAACTCGACAGCAAAGCTCGCGTGCGAGCTGTCGTGTTTGTTGTTCAGTCGTTTTGTCGGGCTGGAGGGATTCAAAATTGATAATATCACTAGGCGACCCTTCTCCCATAGAACCCATTATGTCAGGAGAAAGATTCTTGCCACTGGTTTGTAACTCCACATCGAGATCTGTCCCATATATGGGGGGCTGAATGTACTCGCAGTCATACTCCCCGGGCACCTACAAACTTGGTAGGGCGACTGACATTGGCGGATCCATCATTCACGCCGGGCAACCGGTGATTCCCCTAGGAGGATTGAGTGCCTCTGAATTATGCCCAAAAGGCGTTTCTCCTCTGAGTTCGCCCAGAGCTGCAGGCGCATCCCTGGCCCATCGAAAGCTAGCTCTTTTGTTTCATCCCCACACTCGTAGAAACCTATAACATGACACTGATGCTGCACAGATATACGCATAACGCACCATGCTCGTAGGCGAGGTCCCAGCATGTCTTACCATGGTGGTCCTTCAAAGTGAGATCTGCCAAGGCACGGGAGTGGTTTGCCAGAAGCTTTATAATTTCGAAATCACCAACCATTGCCGCTGCATGACAGGGAGTGCGAATGTAGTAGTCTCGCCCATCCACATTGCAGCGGCCATCATCAAGGAGCATGCGAACTGCTTCGAGCTCATGGTTCTCTGCTGCAAAATGAAGCGCCGACGCGTGTTCTGCCTCAGATCGAGAGTTTGGATTTACCTTGGAGAGACTTAACAGGCTTTGCAGGACTTCGAGGTCACCGCCTGTGAGTTGCGCTGAGGACGGCGCTAGCCAGGGTTGTACTCACGGCTCGCGGCCGCGCGTAGCTGTCGGCCTAAGTCCATATTTTCCATGTGCATTACTTGGTCCCGCGGTAGCATCGGAAAGGTGTGGAAACAAGATTCATGCGTTCGGTCTTCACCGAAAGGAGCACCTGTAGCGGTTATTCGACGCAGCGACATGTTAAGGTTTTGTCCCTGCGTTGAAAACTGTCTGCGATCCAGACGGAAGCCAACGAGAGCAGCGAGACTGCGCTACGGCAGGGTCGGTATCCAGGAGAGCACTGTTAAGTTTTTCCCTTCACCAGTTGAATCGAATGCTCCTCGAGCGGCCGACGGGAGGTCCCTGGGAATTTAGGATAGTTTACTGGCCTCCTTTAAGTCGCGATGGCGTTAGTCAAGCTCCAGCAGGCGCACCGTCCGGCGACAGTAGGCTAGGGTCGCGGTCGACTCGGACTCCCCCCTGAATGTCCGTTTGATTCAGGGCTGACGTCTTCGGCCCCGGCGCCTGGCCGGACGTGTCCCAGGGGCCCCTGGGACGGGAATGGCGCGGGGGGGCGCCCGCGGGGAACTGTGGCGGGATAATGGACTAAGGTAACTTGAGTGGCTTAGCTTGAAGTTGGCAGTGCAGTTGGCTTGTACCTCCCCGCGGGCGTCGCGCCCGCCAGCAGGCCCTGCATGGCCGCGGAAGAACGAGCGCGCGATGGAGCACCACAAACGGCCGCGTTTGAACACAGTACAGTGAAGTGCAAGTTGAAGTCCCCGAAGCGTCGAAGCGGCGTGGATCATCGTCACCCAAAAACCAGAAACACATCGTGCCAAGCACAACGCAAAGCCTCAATTTGGTAAGGAACTAGGGTAAGCTTTGGATCTATATATTTCTTACTGGCCATGAACGCGACGAAGCGACAGAAGATATATCTCGTACTCGAGTACGAGTCATCGTCTGTCGCTGACATCCACTTCTATTACTGTGCGCCTGGAGCGCACCCCAGGAAAATCCCCTCCTGTCCAGCCGGCCCTATTCTTCTCCTGGGGGTCCTAGACTAGGCTAGTCCCCGAGCTGGGTGGAGCCCATGTTGAAGGCACACTCAGCTCCTAATCCAACTATATCATTCTATATCTTTTATCATTCCTTAATATGCTAGTAAGTGGTATATCTTGGCCAACCGATGTGTCCAGAAGTGAAGGCAAATGCGCCAAACCAATCGGGATGGGCAGATGTCGCTAACGCTCATAGGGTAGGCTTACTCGCAGCACTACCAGGTTTAGCGCGTGTATCCCGGCGGTCAAAGGTGTATGCCGAAAAGTCAAAACAGGGTCTTCGATCACCGCGTGAAAGGATTGGGATGATGGTGGCTGATTCGGGCGGCTTCGCAATGCGACAAAGATCGTCCCACGTGGTCTGCCTGATCAGTGACCTAGACAGTGAAATCGGAGCTGGAGCTCTATCTTCTAGATTAACCAAGGCAATGGGA